ATGAAACTCAAATTCAACTACCTAAAGATTTTACATTGGTTTACCTTGTAGAATTACCACCTTATTGATTTGAAATTAAAGGTTAAATTAACCTCTAAAAGTTAATTAATATTATATCGATCAGTATTCGATATAAAAGAAATAAATTTGTAATAATTATAATGATCCATAATTATTGGATACTAGATAAAGATAACGAAAACGATAATAAAGGTAGTTATCTGATTACGATAATGATTAATTATTCAATAAAAATTTACATTAAACTGTAGTTAGCTATTTTAGCCAAATACTACAATACGGTAAATAAGTCGGTAATTAATATTTACAAAGATATTAATTAGCTAATCAAGCTAATCAATAGTGGGCAGTAAAGAAAAAGGTAATAATAGTTAACAGTTATTGATATTGGTAAAGATAATTATTAGCTAATAAAGCTAATCGATAGGGAGCGGTAGAAAAAAGATAATATAAGGTAACAGTAATTAATAAGGCACAGTTACGGGACCCATAGGTAAGTAATTATACAAGCCTGGACGAAATCCTTGGAAATTTTCATAAAGGATAACGCACACCTAATATGGGATTTTTGGGCTCTATGGATTTTGCTCATTTTTTGATGTTGTAGAGGATTCAATTCTGAACAACTTTTAAATGGGACGAAATCTTGTAGGTATTATGGTCTTTGAGATATGAGCGTTGAAAGATGAACTTTTTTGCGACTTTTTGTGTGGAGAGTATATGAAATACTGGTGTTACTGGTGTTTATCAGTCAAAATATTGACAGGTTTACATATTTTACATCACAACAAATTAATGTCAACAATTGTCAACATCAGCTAAGGCCGGGACCACACTGGGACCAATATTAGCGCCGCAGTGCGGTCCCGGCCTTAGCCTATGTTGACATTTGTTAGTGACGTAAAATATGTGAAACTCTCAATATTTTGACTGACAAACACCAGTATTTCGTATACTCTCCACACAAGAAGTCGCAAAAAAGTTCATCTTTCAACACTCATATCTCAAAGATCGTAATACCTACAAGATTTCGTCCCATTTAAAAGTTGTTGAGAATTGAATCCTCTACAACATATCAAAAAATGGGCAAAATCCATAGAGCCCAAAAATCCCATGTTGGGTGTGCGTTATCCTTTGAGATCCAGAAGCACCAAACTGACGGAAGGCAATCATGCAATGGTCGGGGATCAATCTCTTACAAGACACAACTTTCCTTGTAGAGGGGGCCCAGACTTGCTTTGGAAATGCAGTACAGCTCAAACTTGTCAAATTTTCACCCAGAAGTGTAGGCGTGGATTTTTAATACTCTCCCAAATTGCCTGAACGGATTGAAGAAATATAAGGACTTATTTATCAAAGGGAAAAAGGGATTTACATACCTGAACGGCCGATAATTAACCTCACTTTCAAAAATTTACACAAAAATCAACAATCTGTTGATTTTTCGGGAAACGTTCCAGCTGACATAATTACTCACTACTCTGGCTAGTTAAATTTATATAATTTTGGGCTCGATGGCCAAGAATGAAAACCAAAGTTTTTGGATTTTCCAGAGACGACCTTTTCAGTCTAACTATAAAATCGAAAAGAAAGCCAAAAGTATCAAACTGTGGTTGTGTCTTTCTTCCTCTGTCAAGCCTGTCGAAATTATAAAAATGACAGTGCTACGGGTTTTTCTTATGAAGAACCTTAGTTGGATTCGGCTGGAGTGTGAATGGAGTTATTCGGAGTGCCGGAGTGAGCAAACCAATACCACCTTTTGATAATATAATTTTCGGTATTAGGTCAGGAAACTAGTCAGAGAAATCATAGATGTCGCTAGGTGTACGAGATAGTATTTTAAATGAGTTCAAATATATGAAATTAATTAAGAACAATTAAATATGTTCTTGTGACATTTCAAATGTTACACCATCTAATCACAACCAGTAGCCAGGACTAATCTGGTTGATTGTATCTACTACTACCACCTGGAACATTTTGGTATCGTACTAGCTTTAATTATCTTATCTATATTTTATTGTTTATTTACATTCTGTCCCTATTTTGTACGCCACAGTGATCACTAAGGTATTTCAGGGAGTAATTCAGTGCTTGTCCCAATGTGTCAAATGAATTATTAATATAGGTAATTTAGCTAGACATAACCTGATTCAGTTGCTTATTTATGCCAACTTACTTGTAGTTCTGGTTACATCACTGTAAGGTAACCGTTCCGACAATTAATTCTTTATTTATTGTTTTATTTTATATTTTCAACCCTTACATATTTTTTTTTAGTACTCAGTTGGTTATTGAGTAACAATAACACTTTAGATTTTTACATTTAATTCAACTGTTTATGACTATAGCTATTATTTTAATAGTAGCCGTACTGTATTTGTTGATTGACCCTTCATCAAAAGGCCACTTCATTTATTAATCAATGACAGTTCAAGTGATTGTTCTTTTTCTTAAATAGTTTTTCACTTTTTGGTAATATTGCTAATTTACTTGATTTTTTCATTATTAATATCTCAATATTGTCATCCTGGACAGTCCGACTCATCTGTTCAGATTCGGTGCGCCCAAAAATAAAACCAACCCCAACTCTCCGAATTGTTTAATTCTTCATTAATTCTTCATTAATTTTTCTTTTTGTGTTTTTTTTTTTTTTTTTAATATTTTATTTTCTTTCTAAACTTTTTATTCACCGAAAAAGCGTGGCATCCTGACAGACTGCTAGCAACGCCACCCTCGACGAAGTTTGGAAAAAAAGAGGAACCTGGACGAAGACGAAGGCAGGACGGAGAGAGACTCGAAAGTGCAAGTACGCCCGTTTTCAGTTACTGCGCGTAATAATTCAGCAACCACTAGCCGTTCTTTAATTTCCATACCCTGAGTGGGTTTTATTTCAATTGAATTTGTTGTTAAGTTCAGACCAGCCTTTTTTCTCATTCCTAAACCTACAGTCCACTCATTTAGCACATTCCAGATCAAGTTAAAGGCAACCTCTGCAGAATATCGAATAAATGTTGAACCAGAGAGCCGCCGTAGGCTAACCAGATCAAGTGAACCTACAATTACCTAACTAAAATAACTCAATGTGGGCTAACATTATTTTTTTTTAAAAAATCCTTTATTCTTGTATGTTTTCATACTTCTCAAAAAGTATTTTGAGTATAAGATACTTAATACACATTTGTTTGAAAATGTAATATCTAGATTTCATTAACTGGCTCTAGAATTCATTTGGAACATAACTGAAATTGATCATTCAAGTGATAAATAATCTATTAATAGCTCGACTAATATTCGTACTTAAATCGTGAATGAAATATTCCATATCATCCGTTAATGTCAAGTGTCAAGGGATAAAACTTTGCAGTCAGTCCTACTCAACTTCGAATTAAAGGGATAGATTTGGAATCGGACTAGTTGAATAATTCAATTTCTTATTCCTCGGGATTCTACCCCTTAATACCAAAAGCAATTGCGTTATAACTCCACCAGGTATTTTATAAGTTTGATGTAGTCGTTGCTGTAATCTAATATAGGAAAATATACATTGGTTCGTTGGCGAAAAAAATATTTTATGGAAAATCTTACTGATGATGATAAAGAATGAAAATTTTATATAAAAATTTAACATACAGGGTGTCTGTTTTTCGAGATAAACCAATGGGATCTCAAGAACTGTTACTGTGACTACTGTGAGAGATAAGGGATGCATTTTTTGATGAAATTAGGACAAAAGCTTTGGAATTTGAAATATTCCCTATACTTCCAGAGTAGATAAATTATTTTTTCTTCATTATTTCAATTCCAGAAATTTTTCTCCAATGGTCCACTTCTCATATAGAAAATTTCATGAGCTTCGAAAATGGGTTTTCTATGACTGATTTCAGTTTAGATGGAAATATGCCTTTCATAATAGTAGTAACAATTATTATATTTGAGTTAAATTTCGCGAGATTTCTGTTAAATACTTTTTTTCGATTTCCAGGAAATTAGGATTGAAAATTTCTTAAGTCAATACTAAAATATTGATAAACACCACATATTTATGAAATATTTTTTCCACTTATTATTCTCAATTGGTATTTGAAAAGTCATAATATTGTTTCAGTTGGCAACTTCTGTCTGTCAACTGAAATTGTTTAACAAGCCTGAAAGCTACGTACCATTGAAATTAAATTTCAGATCACATAAATCTGTAATTTATGTTTAAATAGCGACCCCCAATAGAAATATCCATTGTTGTATTAATTTGATATCTGGATAATAGGTTGAAATGAATGTAATTTTAATAAATCATTTGTTTAATAGCGTAACTGCTTCGGCAAATGCAGACGAGATAACTGGGAAAAAAATCAAGCATAAACTTCTCTAAGGGCGGGTATTATAAAACTACTTTGAGAGTTAACTTAAAGTTAACTTCTGAAATTATATGTAATTCAAAAAGTTATCTTCAAGTTAACTGTCAAAGCAGTTTTATAATACCCGCCCTAAATCAATCTGTAATAGTTATGTACCGTATATCTAATAGAAATTGCAATTTTGTTTGAAGTGCAATGGATATTTATGGTTTTTTGTAAAATTACTTAAGTCTGTTTTTTTTTTTAAAGATAAAAGTCAAAAAGACATTATGTTGGCAATACAATGCAAAATTGTCAATGCTTTCAAATATTTTATGCGGAAAAGGCTTGTGTTGCACTTGGAGAATTACCTTTAAAAAAAAACAGACTTTAACTCTAACTATGGAATAAAAATACTATTAAAATCTGTTTTTTTTTTAAAGATAAAAGTCAAAATGACATTATGTTGGCAATACAATATAAAATTGCCAATGCTTTCATTTTTTTTACGTGGAAAAGGCTTGTGTTGCCAACATAGTTACTAAATTTTTGACTTGGGGAATTATCTTTAATAAAAAAACAGAATATGTCCTCAGAGTGTGAGCGTAGCTTAAACACTCCTGACGTCCTATGACAGTGACATGAAAAATTGAGAGTTTGCGCTTACATCAATTATTTTCTTTTACACAAATTTAACAAACTTAAAGTGCAGAATGAGTGATGAAATTGAAGATGAAGATTTTTTTGAAAACAAAAAGAGCGCCACTTCAATGAGGTCGGAACGAGAGGAGTCCCAAGAACATATTGGCGAAAATTGCGTATGTATAAGAAAGTGAGTATAGATGAGATCATAAATCTTAGGGACTATAGATTTTTAAAATCAATTTCAGATGCCCATTAACATGTGGCTTGATATTGATAGCTTTGGGAATATTAGTGTACATAACGATAATAATCTGCACGCTTAAATTTAAAATTGCGTCACAGGTGGACACAATACCTTTATACAACTATTATTATACGGATTATGCGTATCTTGAGGATGTTAAAGAGAAGGAAGGTGGTACTAGTGATGAAGCCCAACTTGATCCTAGTAAACAGATAAACGGTACAAGCAACAACGATACTGGAACAGACAACACTGAAACCCCTCCGGAGACCAAAAAATCTAAAAGAGATGAAATTGGAATTAGAGATAAATACACAAATAATGGAGGCAATACAGTTACTGAACAAAAAGCCAGTACAGCATCTTCAGGCAAACATGAAAAATCCACCACGGCAACACCAACAAAACTGGAAGAGTGCATAAGAAATGCTCGATTTTGACTATAAATTTGTGAGTGATATTTATGCAATTTGTTTCTGATGTATTGCAGTGCATTGATGATGAACCAAGATAGTTTGATTTCAGAATCCTTGAAGTTATTGAAGTTTTGAATAAAAATTATAGAATTTCTGGGTTTTTACATCTTCTAGAATCTCACCCTTGAAGCAATTTGTGATCCTCGTTCCTGCTCTTCCAAGTTCCGCTCAGACCACCGTACCTACTGCAACTTTGTTCTTTTTCCTAGCCGTTCTCTATCCTCTGGATATAGGCCTTTGTCTGATTTTGCCAGGTATTTCTATTCTGTGCGATCTAGTACCAGTTTAGTCCTGCTGTTCGCTTGATGTCGTCGTATCAGCGATGTTGAGGTCTGCCGACGCTTGTATTCTTATTGATTTCAATGGTATGTATTTTACACTGTCAGATTAGCTCATGAGTTTTTGTAGGTATGGGAACATTCGTTTGTGTATCAAGATTTCAACTCCTCCATTACTGCTATTATCATCACCTTTGTAGAATCGGAGGTGATTTGATTTAGGTCTCAGACATTTTTCTTCTGACTTCTGGCAGTCATACTATGTCCTAAGTTCTTAATTTAGTTGCTCTAACATTGCAGTTTGCTTCAGGTTCCAAAGGTAGAACTCTTCTTTTTCTTTCATCATTGATAATTGTGAATTGATGATTTTATTATGGGGCTAAACTTTTATAACTGGATCTCATCTTGGCTTAAAGCTATGATTTATGTCAATGTTCCTTTATTAAGATCCAACTTTGAATACAGAGTATCTGGACTACTAAGTTTATATGAACTTATTTTCAATTACATTACCTTGATTTGCGACATGCAGTTATGTGAGTTTTCTCTAAATTGTCTGTGGTGGGAAGCAGTTTTATCGAAAACCGATAGCGAAACGCGCAACCCACACTGGTCAACCGAAATAAATTAAACGTTATTGCGTTCGAAATGGCATTTTTGTGGAACTGCACACCGAGGGCAGACGACTAAATGGTCGATTTAGTGCGGGGAGGTTTGCGTTATTAAAAATAGATATGGTAGATGTTTGAAGATATGGTTATTTGAAGCGAAACTATGCAATAAGCTTCATGTAAACTGGTTAAAAATAGATGAATTCGTGTAACTAACCAATCATATGCACAATCGAATCAAATACAAAACGGTCGTATGAATTTATTAATAACAAGAATCTTGACGTCGGCATAGAATGAAATTTAATCAAGTGAAATATGCAACATAACAAGGCCTTCTACGGCGTGGATGTATATTGGAGGCGTCACTAGTATTTCCTCGGATAGAGACTGTAAAATATCTGCTGATTTAAGGAGACTCCGAGGATTTTGAATTCTTTAAAGAGCCTCGAAGTTGGTCACGTATCCAGCCATGAAAATGTGGCAACACTGCATCATCAATGACTTGGTGGTCGGACCGTCGCGTGTTGCGTCGCGTCTCTGCAGTTTATTTTGGCAGTTTAACAAAGGTCATGGATAAAAAATATAATTTTTTTTTAATGAAAATGTTTTATTTATAATAAAAAAGTACTTTTTATTGAGGCCCAGTTCGAGAGCAAGTTCTAGCAACATCTTTACAAAACAGAATAAATCTAAATCATCGAGTAATCATCTAATTATACAAAGAAGCAGAAACATACACCTAGGTAGGTCCTATATGAGTTTAAATTGGTAGGTAGGTGGTAGACGCTTTTTACTCATTGGGCGTCGACCGGTGAGATACCACCATGCCAGAATTGAGTAGCGCTAAGTGGTATCACCACGTTCCGCTACTGCGCTGGCAGTCCGGTTCCAACAATGAGTAACAGATAGCATGATGGCGCCTCCAGGATCAAAATATTCCGGAGGTAAAATACCCGACCACTCGGATCTCCGGGCGTCGGGTGATCCTGGGGGTCCTTCATGTAAAGATATAAAGAGAAGATCAAAAACTCAACTCAGAATTGATTTTAGCAATATAAGAGGAATAAGTACAAATATGAATTCAGTTCACCAACATCTTGAAGAACAAAGACCTGACATCCTTGTTCTCACTGAAACTAAAATCAGTTCTGCAACACCTATTGTGAACTATCTTTATCCCGGCTATGACCTACACCACCGATTTCGACATAATTTTGGGATCTGTGTGTACATTAAAAATGACCTTTCATGTCATCGAGAGGAGAAGCTAGAACCAGCGAACCTTGATATCATATGGCTAAAATTCACCTCAAAGTCATCGACCAAGTTTATCTGCTGCCTCTACCGACCGCCATCTAACACCGAGTACCAAAACTTTTTCGCGACATTATCCGAAAGCTGTGATAGTATACAGTCAAACTATCCACAGGCGGAAATTGTCTTTTTAGGCGATTTCAACGTCCACAATATACCCTGGCTGAAACACCACAACAAAACAGATAACGAAGGCAGAGAAGCAGAAGCTTTTGCCATAAGTTGTGGTCTAACGCAGCTTGTCGATGAACCTACCCGTATCTCAGAAAGGGGCGAATTTGCAGCGCTTTTAGACTTGTTCCTAACCACAAATCCTGACTCGTACACAATTCAAGTAGATGCTCCACTTGGTTCGTCCGATCATAAACTTATAATAGCAAAGTGCGAAATGCTCATCCCACCAAGCCTACAACCACTTCCTCGTAAAATGTGGCACTATAAATCGGCAAAATGGAATGACCTAAAACAGTATTACCTGGATTTTCCATGGCAAGAGGTTTGCTTTAAAACAGCTGATCCCACTATTTGCTGTAATGAAATAACACAAGTAATCTTATCTGGAATGGACGCATATATCCCACATACAACTAAACGTAGAGCTAATGCTAAACCTTGGTTCAACAGCCACTGTCAAACGGCTGTACAGAAAAAACACAGAGCATATAACCTTTGGAAACGACAACAAACCGCTCAAAACCACACAGAATTTATAGAAGCCAGAAATAGTTGCAAAATTACTATTGACTCCGCTAAAGAAACATACAATCAAAGAATAAAAAACAGGTTGCTGAATTGTCCAAGTAGTTCTAGGTCTTTTTGGTCTCTTGCAAAAGCTGTTGGATCTAACTTCACCAAGTCATCCATACCACCACTTACAGATAAAAATAATCACTTAGCCACAACATCAGAGGAAAAAGCCAATATGCTTGCCCAAATGTTTTCCTCCAACTCCAACCTAACAGTGCCAAACGGAAAAACTCCACCGTTCATTGAAAGGGTTTCCCATAGTATGCCAGAGGTACCCTTTTGTCACAGAGAAATACGAAAATCCCTAAAAAAGCTGGATACAAACAAAGCAATGGGTCCGGATGGCATTCCCGCAATAGTACTCAAAAATTGCGCCAACGAACTCACCCCAACTTTCGCAAAATTATTCAATTTGTCTTACAGGCAAGGAGTATATCCATCATCATGGAAGTCTGCCGCAGTACAACCCATTCCAAAGAAAGGAAAAAAGACAGATCCGTTAAACTATAGACCAATTGCTCTACTTCCGGTGATATCAAAAGTAATGGAAAGAGTTGTGAACAATCACCTAACCAAGTACTTGGAAAAGTACAAAATTATCAACGATAAGCAATACGGATTTCGAAAATATAGATCAACTGGCGATTTACTTACATACGTCACTCACTTATGGCAAAAAGCGATTGAGTTGCGGGGTGAAACAAGAACAATTGCCTTAGATATATCTAAAGCATTCGACAAAGTTTGGCATGAAAATCTTCTCAACAAGCTCAAAGCAATGGGATTATCGCCGAAACTTTGCACTTGGTTTGAAAGTTACCTAAAGGACAGATCCATTTATGTTGCACTGGATGGCCAGAACTCCAACTCTTACCAAATAAATGCTGGTGTGCCACAGGGAGCAATCCTTTCGCCAACTCTTTTCCTGATTTACATAAATGACCTCATAGATAAAACAGTAAATCCACTTTATTGCTTTGCAGACGATGGTAATGTAGTCTCCTCACTCATACCACCCACAGGGCTTTCCGCACGTGAATTCCATCATCTTAGACTAACTCAAATATCGCAGATAAATAACGACCTGGAGATAATAGAGGACTGGGGTAACAAAAACCTTGTACAGTTCAATGCGCAGAAAACCCAAGCAGCTCTGTTTTCAAAAAAGACCAGCACCGGTGAGCCAAACATCATGCTATCTGGAAGTGCTGTCACATTACAGAGTCAGTTGAACATCTTGGGGGTTACTGCAGAGACCAACATGTCTTGGCACAGCCACGTGGCAGATATTGCTAAAAGGGCCTCCCAAAAGCTGGGGGTGCTATTTCGTACAAGACATCTGTACACACCAAGCCAATTGCTGACACTCTACAAAGCCCAGATTCGACCAACTATGGAGTACTGCTCACATATGTGGAGTGCTGCACCCAAACATACCTTAATGCTTTTGAATACCGTGCAAAAACGAGCTATCAAGCTGATCAATGACCCCGCACTTACTCGTAACTTGGATGGTCTCGAACATCGCAGATCTGTGGGCGATTTATCTCTCTTCTACAGGTACTATCACGGAAAATGCTCTGAAGAGTTGGCACGTATGATTCCACCGAGAGTAGCACCTACCAGGCGAACGCGTCAAACAGACGGTAACCATGAATTTACTGTCAAACTAGAGGCACCAAGAACCTCACTATATCAGAATTCATATCTCTGGAGAACAGCATCGCTGTGGAATAAACTCCCTGCGACGGTTTTCCCTGCAGGTTACAACCTGAACCGTTTCAAGACCAACATACACCGACATTTCCGCGCACTTGCCGCTTCTCGAGCGTGATAGGACATTGTCCTTGCGAGTGCGCATATCCGTAAAAAAAAAAAAAAAAAAAAAAAAAAAATTTAAACAGATGTGGTTGGATACCAAATTATAATAAATATAGATAATCATCTTAGCGAATAATGGCTGTTTCCGAAAAGTGTAAAGCACAAACAATAGAATATTTTGATGGTGTCCAGTTATCCCTAGGGATTAATTTTAACCATTTTTCTCTTAAATCACCATCATTTGGAAATTTAAAGGTAGAAACAGCTGTCTTACCTTGTTTTAGGGTACTCTCATAATTGGATTTGCATCAATTGCATCCCGGGATACAGCACGTTTTCGGCATAATA